TTATGCCAATAGTACAGTTTCTCCCATGTGGAGCAGCAGTCATGCTGTTTGAGGATTTGTCCATAATGAATCACACACAACAGAACTGTTGTAACCACAGCTCCAGATTTCCCTGTGTTCTCCTAGGAAATCATTTCAAGGAAAAAAAAATCTGGCATAACAAAAGGTCTTATTTTAAAATCCTGAGGGAAAAAAAAAGCATACAAAAGCCCAAACTATTAGGAGAAGGAAAAAACATATTCATAAGGGAGGGCCCTCAGGGTCAGAACCATCAGCTGATTAAAGTGCACACAGACAGCTCTCTCCATCCATGGCCTGGAGGAAAAAAACCTGGAGTAAAAGAGCTGCCCTACAAAAGCACCATGAGTTGTATTAATATTTCTGCTGTTTTACCACGTGGGCATTTTTAATTAAGGTAGGTTTCTCACTGGTTTGGGGAGCAGACAGCCCATGCTGAGGTAACTCAGCACAGACTGAAGCCTGAGGAAACACGTGCAAAAATGTTCACTGATCCACGGTACCGTGTGCTGGAGAGGAGGTCTCAGCACTTTCTTTTCTTTTGCTGAGTTTCCTTCTGGCCCTTTGCTCTGTATCTTGGCCAGAGTTTCCCTGTCGTACCTTGACTGTGTCCTAAGGACACAAATGAGAGCACAGGGGCCACGTTGAGGATACTTTTGGGTTTTACAGCACCGAGGGAAGACAAATGAGCACAGACATGTTGTGCCACTCTTGCTGAGGATGGTTCTATGGGCAAATTAATTAACCCACTGTACTAATCATAATCCACAGTGGCCCACAAATTATTTTAAGCAGGAATATTTCTGTGGCTTGCTCCCTGTTGTGGCCCCACTTGCCACCCACTGTAAACTGAGACTAAGCTGAAGGAAGTTAGCACCAGCTGCCTTCTGCTCTCCCAAGAGGCAGAGGGGTCTGTATAGCACCAACGTATGCTCCTGCAGCTGTGTGGAAAGGCTGAGGAAGCCAACAGGGCTGGGGCTCACATGAAAGCCCATCAGGGCCAGCACCTGCACTCACAGCTTGTTCTCCCTGGTAACACTTAAATAACTGATTAAAAACACGTGACACCCCGATCACCCCATCCCTGCATTGGATATTGCACAACAAGATTTAAATACCATATAAACAAGTCATCCCTGCATGGAAAAGGCAATTGGAAGAGAGGGTCCAGCTCAGCTTGGCATGTACCTGGGGCATCCCTGCCATGCCTGACTGCAGCTTGGTGAGTCACAGAGGAAACAGGGGAGGCAAGAGGAGAGGAACCGAGACACTGTCTGTGGCCATGAACATGTCCTTGGGTGATGAAGGCCATCCAGTGCCCTGTGAGGGCCAGAGCCAGCCAGGAACAGAGTTCTCTAGGAGTGCCCACGGGAGCTTGGCTGTCCCACTTGCAAACGGTTCACTGCTGCAGCTATCCGGACACCAGTGTTCTGGGTGAGATGGAAAACAGGGACACGAGAGAGGAGTGAGCCGTGATGGAAGAACAAGCCCTGCCCTCACCCTCTCCTGGAGCTGATGTCACTGACAGCCAGGAGGAACTTGTCTCCAACCACATGCATTCACACCCTAAAGCATCACACACATAGGAAACTCTCCCACCAGGAGCACAAAGAATTTCATGCAGTTTTCTCCACTTTTCACAGCTGGCCTCCGGTATATTGCAGGCTGGAGACAGTAAAGCTGTGCTGTGTGGAGTGGAGATTTTTCTGTTAAGGGCTCCAGTTTGCAGGGCACTGAATTCAGCATCTAAAAGTCCCCTTATTACGGACATTCAGGAAACATCTCCTTGGCCATGGCTAGAGAGGCAGGAAAGAATTCCTGTTCCTTACTGGGATCTGGAAGTCTTGTGTGGATCTTCACGTTTTGCTGCTCTTTGCTAACTTCTGTCACACCCACCCTGACACCCCCCCCCATTACTCAGCCCCACTGACACCAATGCCTTGCCTGAGGAAGTGCTCAAGGATGTGGAGGATTGAATCACTGTTTTGCTTAACCCAGTAGATGCTTAATATGGAACAAGTCCAAACAGACACCCCTGTCATAAAGGCAACCAACCCAACAGCCTCTCTGTTTCCACTCAACCAAGGTGTGCATGAAGGTGTTTGGCAGTGTGATATTCCCTTCAGAGTGCTTTTATTCCCCAGGGAAAGGGAACACTGGAGTGCTTCCCACCACCACTGGTGGTTACCTCTGCCACAGGCTGGAACCTTCCTGGGGTTCTGGTGTGTACAGGAGGCAGTGGGACAGCAGGGCTGGTTCCTGGCCAGGCTCTGGCTCTAGATGGAACAGGATCAGCTGGCAAAGCTCTTTGGGGTGGCCTCGGCCTTGAAATATCCTGTGCAAGAAAGAAATAGTTTTGAATTCTCATCTTAGACAGGCACCCAACATGAAAACAGAGATAACATTTGCATTTACTTTATGTGGCGTGAACTGCTAGGTGTGGCCACAGGTCCTTTGGACCTCTGGGGTCTATTTTCTTTTCTGTAGGTCTGAGCACACTGGGTAAGCAGCTGCCTACCTCGAGGTCTCTGGTTTGGGGCAAATCCCACAGATATTACAGTCTATGGCTGCATGAGGAAAACCAGGATAAACCTTACAGAGTGGGCAGGAGTCCCCATCACAAGTGAGGCTGTAGTGGCCCTGGCTGAGACAGAGGGCTGAGGGTAAAACCATATGTGTAAAGACCTCTCCCTCTCTGAATCCAGAAGGGAGCATGGGTGGCTGCAACTATGACTTGTATTGCAGAGGTGATTAGTGGTTTTCAACACAGACAAGTTTTTCACTTGTCAACATTCATGAAGACACAATGGCCTAGGGCTGCTGGGCAGTTGGCTCTGAGGACAGCCAACAGGGCTAACCAGCTTGCTATGCCTCCCAAATGGAGCTGTGGCTTGAAAGTGCATCATATTCTAACTATTACATTATTTTGCAAACAATAGGGAAGCTACGATCCAGAGCCTTTTAATTAGCCACATTACTGATGCACTTTTACACATACACTCCCTGTTTGCCCACACAATGCCTGTAAACACTATATACATGTGTATCTGTGTGCCCATACAAACACACACAGACAGTTATCATTTGTTTGTGCACACAGCTGTCCCTAATAGGATACTTGGAGCATTATATTTTCCATTCATCTAATGAATTTCAGTGGAAAGCATTCCCCTGGGGAGAAGTTACCCCCACAAGAGTTAAGTGCCTGTTGTTGCTCAGTCTCTGTGCTAAGCCACTGCCTTACAGGTGTTGATTTAACAAGCACAGCTGCACTCACAACTTGGAGGGCACCCAAAACCACTGCAGTCTCCTCAGACTATGTATAAATGCAATGCTTGATGGCTTGGGGATCTATTGCTCTCCAAGGATCTTGCCCTGTGACTCCAGGAAGGACAAGGCAGCCTAAATTCCACTGACTGCCAAGTCTGAAGAGCTCCTATAGGAATAGCAAGAGAGCAAATTTGGCAGATGCTGCAAATGTCTAGGAAGGACACTGAGACTAGCAAACAGCAACATTAATTATTTCTCCTGTACCATCTCCATCTCATGGCTCTCCACCAACCCAGAAACAGCAAGGTTTCTTTTGGAAATCCTAGAAAAAGTGTTCCATCTAGTAGGCCTGACTGAGATAAAGAGACTGAATGTGTTGGGGAGGGAAAACAATGGAGATTGTGGGGAGCTTGTCAACAACCAGCTGGGAAGGATACCTATTCCTTATTGACAACAGTCAGCTTCCTGCTTTTGTTTTAGTTTTCTGCTGGCTGTTCACAGGAACAATGGAGCTGGAAACAAATCCTACTCACTAAAATATTCTTCTATAGGAACCCCTCAAGGGTTTGTTTTCCTCCATATCCTTCAGAGACTGCCTGGGAGGCAGCCTCCTGCTACCCTCTGTAACCAGGCCCTTTGCTTCTTTGATGGCTCCAACCTAATAATATTTTGGCCAAAAGGGTTTAAGTCAGTGTGAGTGATTTGTCATCTTTTCCATAAGAATGTGAGGTCTGTAGTTAAGTTTAGAACAAAGCTGTCAGCAAAAGATTTAAATCAATACCCTTTCCTTTCAATCCTCAAAGTAAACTCATGGCTAGGATGCTCACACAAGATGAGGTCAGTTTGGGTTAAGACTAATGTTTCCTATGAAACATGCTAAAGGTCCTATTTCTGCTCAAAATCAAAATTTGTCTGAGGTCAGGAATGGCCAAATGCAAGATACCTGGGGGATCATCCCAAGGAATGAATATCTTGCATTCAATACTGAACCTCAGACTTTCCACTGACTGGTAATCTCAGAAGGGCTTGTTGGATGGAGCTCTGAGCAACCTGCTCTAGAGGAAGGTGTCCCTGCCCATGGCAAGGGGGTTGGAACTAGATGATCTTTAAGGTTCTTTCCAACCCAGACCATCCTATGATTCTATGACTCACATGGTAAGAAGAGCTGTGCTAGGCTTGCTTAGAGAAAAATTTGTATAGTCCTGTCATTCCTGGCAAATTATCTCTTAGATTTTCAGCTAAAAGCTCTTTAGATGACCTTGGTAAAGTGAATGGTGCTTTGTGATCCAAGCTTCATGTAAAGGTCAGAGGTATCAGGGGACCTGAATTAACTAAGAGTCACACTGTGTGTGCTAGTGTTCAGCATGGTCATTGCCAGCTACACGACAAAGCAAGGAGAACCACCAGGAACTGTCCTATGGGGAGATGGAACAGGCACTAGTGAGCATGGTAACTCCTACATCCCCCAGGGTGAGAAGAGGCTTCACCACCCTCGCTCAGAACAAACCTCCCACCAAATCACATCTGCAGGACATTGGCACAACTCCATACCTGAGAGATGGGGGCTTTGGGAGCTGGAGGTGCTGGCCTGCTCGGGGGTGTTCGCCGGGCAATGTCTTTTGGAGGCACTGGCTGTGCTGGCCCCATGTGCTGCCCCGTGCCACAGCTGGTGGAGAAGGTGGATGGCTGCTGCCTGGTTATTTGGAGCCCTGGAGCTTGCTGGGAAGGAGGTTTTGGTGGGATTTCAGGGAAGCCAATCACCTGTGCAGAAGACCCACAAATCCTCAGTTAGGTATTTCCACTTCAAACCACCTTTTTACTCTCTGCGACACCTTTGAGAATCTACATGAGGTCTATGAGACACATAGTAGAAAACATTGCCTGCGACACGAATACGTGTTGTATACATCTAGCAGGCATTGATTAGATAGACTGGGACAATTTTGGATCATGAGACAAAAATGGGAATCAGGAGAACAGAGTAATTCAGGCATTCGTGTGATGCTCACATATAAACCCAGGGTTTGCCATTTCTGAAGTTCTGAGAGGGAGATGTGACAGCAAAGGATCTGTCAGAAGAGACAAGCAACCACACAGGCCTGGTCAAATCCCAGCTCCTGCCTGTGAAGAAGTCAGCTCCCACTGACTTTCAGCCATGGGTGATGTCTATTTTTCCCATCCTTGGCTAAAACCACTCCCTAACTGCACTTGTGAGAGGGAACCACATCCCACATCTTAGGGCAGCTGCATCTCTCTCCTGGAGGTGGAAGATAACCATGCCCCTACCTTCCTCTGCTGCTGGGGAGTCCTCAACTTGAAGGCAGGGTTTGCATGCCCAGTTCCAGAGGTGTCACTGACAATGAGAGAAAGAAAAGAGTAAGTGTTATTTCCTTAATATGTTTTCTCCTTTTCCCCCTCCCTGTATTTTCTATTTTATTTTCGCCAAAGTAAAACAATGAGAAGCAAATAGTGACTATAACAACAAACCCATTTAGGTATTTATATTCCTCATAGTCTTTGCAATATCTCTTCTGTCCTGGCACTGAAGTTGAGAGGCAGACAAGGCACAGCACTGATAACTTACCTGAACTGCGGTGTCTTTTTTAGAGAACAGATGGTAAATTTATTCCAGCATTTCAGATAATAGAATAAAAACATGATTCCAATGAGGACGAGAATGGAAGCCAGGATTGCAAGAGCTATCACAACTGCTGAAGAGCCTGGGGACAAGAAGGTAGAGTTTGTTAAATGACAAGCTCTCTGCTCCCAGTTTAACTCAAGTCTTTCTGAAGTGCCACCAGAGCAGAGCTGGTCCCACTCACCAGGCATAGGAGGACCACTGTCCAAGCTTCCTCCTGTCCCCTGCTTGTTGCAAAATGGGGGGGCCCACCCTTGGTCACAGTGGCAGTTCTTGTTGTTATTGCAGACCTGTAGTGAGGAGACTCAGAGACTTTAGTGACAGCTACTAAGGAACCTGCAAGCTAAAACAAATTAAGCACTTGCTCCATAAAACACTACAGAGGAAACTCTTACTGGAATAAATAGGGAGTTAAGTGCCTGGAAACTTTTTTTTTTCCGGGGAGTTAAAGTGCCTTTTATTTCCTCAGATATTCTCCCTTCCTCCAAAAGACAAGGGTTCTTCAGCTGAAATGACAATAACCTGAAATGCATTTCTCTTATCTCTAAACTGAAGGACACCCTAAAATTTCTTATTGTTTAGTTATATTTCTTGGCCCATTGCTATTTGTCTTTTCTTTCCATCCCCTGGTGGCACCGCTGAGCAGTGATAAACTGTTCCAAATGTGGCTTTTTACTGGTTTTCCCTCAGTGAGTCTGATTTATTTTTTTTTATTCAATCTAAACTGTCCCCAGAAGATTTTTCTTTCAGGTTACCTCTTCTTGTTTTTCATTCATTTCAGTTCATATCCCTCCAGTAGACCCCCTTAAATCCTATGTCAGAGAGACACTTCTGGGCCAGAAAATGCATCAAACAGGAAAGGAATGTGCAAATTAATAATCAAGAATTCGAAGTCTAGAGCGAACCTAAGTGTGGTATCAGAACTGAGCAGAACAACCACCCCCAGAAACATGACAGCCCATCCTGCTCCAGCCTGAAATGGAAATGAAAAGGAAGACACCTACTCCATGCCCATGGCACTTCTTGCTGCAGTTTTCAGAATCGAAGATGATGGATGTGTTCTGGCAGCGTCCCTCAAAGCAGACCTGCAGAGGAAGGATCCAAAACCTCAGTGTTAGCTCTGGGTTATGTATCTTATTACTGCATTGTGTTATTTTCAGACTTGCAGGGTCCCAGATGCCTTGGAGATTCAAGTAATTCCCTGCGCAGTTAATCTGGTTCCCAGGCAAACAGTTAACTACCCTAAATCCCAGCTAATGTGCATCACAAAGAAGTGGGAGCTCAGCTTTGACAGCTTGGCCATGACCATGTGGCAAGTCCTTGAAAGAGCTCTCACATGTCTTGACTTCCAGTTGTGTGTCTCACCTCTAAGCAAGACAACCTCAACCAAATAGCAAATCCCAAATTTAGCACTGGCCCCAGACTTCATTTGGCAAAGACATAAGGCCTTTGGTGTGTGTTCTTCCATCGCTTCTCTGAAGCTTTAAGAAACTATTTTTCCAATAAATACAAACCACCCCTAGAAAGGCATTAGACATATGAAATTAATGGTCTGATAACCACAAAGCACATTCCAGGCAGAAAAGTGATACCATGAACCTCCTCCAAGCCATTACAGGCAGAACTGTACCCACATGATGGCTCCCACATTTTGTTCCCGTCAACACCAAGCCAGGATCCAGCATCTCCTTATCTTCAGTCTCAGATCTGTACACGTGGGTCCCTCGGCACCTCTGCATGTTCACAGTTGTGTCTATGGGCACTGCATTGGACTGCAGGGGTTTGGAAGCTGAGCTTTGGCACTGGATCTTCCCACATTTAGCATCTCTGAGTTCAAAGGAAAGGCTAAAGTGATTATTTCTGGCTTGCTGAACGTTTTTAAGCTATCAGCTCTACACATAAATTAAAGCAGCAGTGTCAAGTCATTGTTAAATGAGCAGGGACCTCCCAAGAGCAACATTGTCTGGTGGGTACTGATGGTACAATCTCCCAGTTTCCATGGATGGAGGATGTCCCCATGATGGCCAACCTCAATAAAGTCACAGAACAGACTAAGAAGTTCTTTGTCTCAGTGAGAAAGCTACATTTAACTTCTAGATTTGAAAATCCTCTCTTCTGTTGCTTGGAAAAAATATCAACTAGATGTTGAACTGAAAGCTTCAATCATAAGGGCTTTAAGTCCAACAGAGATGCAGCTGATTTCCCAGGAGATACAGGGAGGGAGCGAAACCAATGCACAGATCAGTTTTATCTACTGGCGTATAAATTTGTAACATACAAAAACATCTTCTCCAATGAGCAACTCTTGGCTGCCACTCTGCTTTGTACCTCATCTCACACTTCCTGTAGCTGCCATAGATGTCCTTCCCACAGTTCCCGTAGATGTCTCCAGCAGCATTGACCTTCTCAAAGCAGGCATCTGGTGCTGGCCGTGCTCCTGCATGGAACAGACTCATGTGGCAGATTCCTGTGGAGCCCAGCAGCCCATCACACCCCTTGCCAACCACTCAGTTTTCTTTATTCTGCAACGGTTTGAGCATGGGAAATTTTTGCTGCCTCCTCCAAGTGAGTAAGGCAGGCGAAAAGGCTCCTCAGACTTTGCTACTGATATCAGGTATGGAAGGTACTACTGCCTTGCACAGAGTGAATAATAGCAGGATAACACATCATATTTCCTGTTCAAAGGGCAAGACATTTTGCTGCAGGCAGTGTCCTTACCAGGCCCCCAGAGCTGCACACACTGGTCCCTGTATGTGAGGCACATGCCGCTGTAGCAATAAGCTCTTCCTCCATCACAAGGAGCTCCATCGATTTGGTAAGAGTTGGGGGGGCAAAATGGTGACTCTCCAGAGCAGTATTCTGGGAGGTCACAGAGTCCTGACCTTTCCCTGCAGGGAGTTCCTGGAGACATCAGCTAAAAGGATACAACAGGAAAAAAAAAAACCGAAAAGAATTAATGCTTGGCCCCTTTGTGGTTTCATGTCTGCACAACATCTCCCTGGAGATAAGACAAAATCTTGCACGTGTCACTTCATCCTCCTTGTCTTGGGTTTTTTTTGAGGTCAGCAGTGACACAAATGATTCTGTAACTTCATTAACTGGGTGAACTCTGTAGAATCAAATTATTGACTGGATTCCTTCCCCAGGTAGCAATGAGATCATGCACAGATGCTGCCGGATCTCACGGGGACACTGCTCCATCTCACTCTACCCTAGAGTCGGATCCAATTTACCTAAACCATTTCTGACAGATGTTTTTGTAATCTGTTCCCAAAGCCCTCCCTGTTTGGGAAGTTTGTTTCAGTGTTTGCTTGCTATTTCTGCTGGAGACATTTTTCTAATGTATAACTTATGTCTCCCTTGCTTACAAATTTACTCAGTTCCTTCTCCTGTCCACCACGCACATGGAGAACAAAGGGCATACACAGCTACATCTAGGAGGTTGTTTCAAGTCTCTTGTGTAAAGAGTGAGTCCAGGTGGACTCCTGAAAAATTGTTTTCAACATGCTCAGGATGGGTCAGTAAGAACACACAGTTGATGAGCAAACAAAGATGAGATTAAGATAAATGTTTGCTAATGTTCATTTCTTTATTAATTTGTTGTCAAAGCTTAAGATCTGTAACTCCAAAATCAGAAACATTTTAACCAGCCTCTATAAAGAAAGCTGAGACTTAAAATTAGAGTGGTCATATGTATACGTTTCTCTTTGCTGGCATTTGTTCAGCAAGAACCTGAGCTAAAGGAATTCAACTGCAGCCCAGAAGAGAGTTCAGAGCAAAGACAGCATCCAGCCTAATCCTCAGAGGAAGAGTTTGCTCTAAGAGCTCTAGTTAGATTTCTTCTAGAGACAAAGTAGAGAAATATTCATTCTGATTCATCCCATCCCTAAGTGTTTCAGAGAGGCAGTGTGACTGTTCCAGCAGGATTCACAGCTCCTCTGAAGTTATCACAGGAGCCAATAAATCAGTCAGCTAGAAGAAAGGACTCCATGACTTTGGTTGCACTAATAATTGTTGTACCTAAAAAAACCAAACCAGGTGAGAAGCTAAACTCCATATCTGTCTGTGTTTGCTTCCCTTCCCCTCCAGTTTTCACCTAACTCCCACCCCTGTGATTCCCTCTCTTCTCAGGAGGCCCAGGGATCTCACCTTGCACTGATGACAGCAGCTGCCATGAGCACATTCAGCCCCTGGCCTCAGGGAGCAGGTGCTGGGGTCACAGCAGGGGTTATTGCACTCCTGGAAGACAAAGATTTGTGCAGAGTTTAGAGGGCAGTGTGAGACTGGCACTAATCTGTTCTCTTACATGATGAATTACTTGCAAACAAAGTAATATCCTTTCTTCCACATGATGCTCATGCTACCCAGCACGTGCTGAATTACAGCACTGCCTAACTGTACCCTCTGATGGACTGACTGGATACCAATGGTTGTGCTCAATCCAGCCAGAGAGGCAGGGCTGCTGGTTCCAGCTCCACTGGTCTTATTAGTCAAAGGATGGATTTGGAGAAGTGAGATGCAGTGCTAAGAGAAGCCTCAACCTTGTTAGGAATGGAGCCATAAAGTCAACTTATATATGAAACTGTGACATCTGGAAGAATTCTTCCTGGATGTGAGGAAGAATTTCTTCATGGAAAGGGTTGTTAAGCATTGGAAGGGCTGCCCAGGGAGGTGGTGGAGTCACCATCCCTGGAGGTGTTCAAGAAACTACTGGACATGGCACTCAGTGCTCTGGTCTAGTTGACAGGATGGTGAACTGTCAAAGGTCAGACTCGATGAACTTGGAGGTATTTCCAACCTAAATAATTCTGTGATCTAAAATCACCTTTTCTTCCATTATTTAAATGAAGTTTTCATCACCTCTGTTCAGCCATGGCTTATATCACCCCTGAGTTCTGGGGTGCATTGTACTACTGTGAAGTTAGTTACACAAGCTATTTTAGAATCTTGATTTACATTGTGTACACATTTACAGACAGGGAAGGTATGTTCATCTCCTGCACAAAGAAAAGATGACACAGATCACATAACTGCATTTGCAAAATACATAATAAAAACATTGTGTCCCACTAAACCCCAAATGATTGAATCTGAACAATTCTTACCTCCACCTCTCCACAGTCACACTCCTCTCCCTCTTCCAAGTAGCCATTTCCACATTTTCTTCCACCATACATTTTTCTGGTATCTGGCATATTGGAGAGACACATCCCTCCACCAGACTGCAGATACTTCTCCAGCTCTTGTCTGTTGCACTGGTTGAACACCTTGGGGAATGGGTGCCTGAATATGGACAGCATAGAACAACATCAAGACAGATCTGAGAACCAAAAATAAACACATGCAAATCCTGACAAGTGTCAAAAGACACAGGTCCCTCCCTGAAATCTATGGAGCTAAAGCTGGTCATGATTTTGTGGGTTTGCATTACACTTGAAGATAAGGTGAGATAGCACTGTAAGATGAGATGAGATGAGATGTGGCACTTAGTGCCGTGGTCTTGTAACCATGGTAAGGTTGGACTTGATGATCTTTGAGGTCTTTTCCAACCCAGTTGATTCTAAGATTGTCTAGCAATATAGTGACCTTACAAAATAAATATTATAGAAACAAATTATGTTAAGTTAGATTTGACTTTCATGGCTGAAAAGCATTGATTCCCGCTCAATACTGGAGCTGTGGCTTATTCCAAACTGCTTGAACATGCCCAAGAATCCAGCTCTCAGCTTGTGAATCCAACTGCTAGCAATAATATTTCATTCTTCCCATCTACCACTTCATTTCTAATCATGTAAATATCCATGTTACATGAATTATTAATTTCTGCTGTCACAATGCCAGAACCTGTGCACTGTGTGTACCCATGCATGTGTGTGTGCATGTTGCGTGCCCTACTTGCGTGCCACTGTGCTTTCACTTCTCACCCTAATGTTCTCCTTATCTGGAGGAAATCATGCACCAAAAAAAGAAGATCTGTATAGAAAAAAATAATACACCCAAACTTGTAAACCCCCAAGGAGGAAGGCTTGAGGCAATGGGGAATGTGGCTTTAAATGAATGGGTTTGTCTGATATTTTTACGTGACTAAAATATAGAAGTTGTTGTGTTTCCTTATCCAAATGAGCTTTGGAATCCCTGTGGGTTTCCACAGTCACTCTTGCTTCCCTTTTCCCTCAAAGACAGCTATTTCTTTCCTTTTAAACACAGGCTCACTGAAACCAAGGAGTATTCTTAAGAAAAGAGAACAGGCAGATCTTCCTTTTTACCAGAGCTCCACTTCTTAATGCTCCCAGGTCCTTACACTACCTCAGGCCAATCTCAGGCAGGAATCAGTTCATCAGGAATTTAGCAAACTGCTACTGATCCATGAGCCAGGGTTTGTCCAGCAGTATTTTCTCTATAAACACACTGGCTCCAACAGGTCCACCTTCACTTTACATTTCTAGTTCTTACTCCACCAAAGTTCTTGCAACAAAGCCCTTTGCATTTCTCCATGTAAGATGAACTCACCCAGTTGCAGAGGCCATGATGCAGCCTCCATCTGCTGCAGGGGTAGTACAGCAACCAGCTGAATCGTGATTCATGCCAAAATTGTGTCCCATCTCATGGGCAATGGTAGCAGCAACACCAATGGCATTTTCAGAGTGATCCTGTGCAAGGACAAAGAGGCACATCACCATTTCACCTCTGCCTGTCCCGTGCACCTCTGAGCGAATGGAGTAGGTGGTACTTCTTATTACTACATGTAGAAAACATCTGTGGAAAGTATTCCTGCCAATAAACTGGAGGACTTAACAGGAAATATTTTCTTCCTGGGCTTTAGGAGGCAGCTATCTATCCTATGTATTCACTGCTGGCAAGAAACTTTATATTTGGTATCAGCAATTCCTTACCATGTTTACTCCTCCTGACTGGAAATCAGAGCGCATGGCCAGTTTTAGAAGGCAGCTATCTATCCTATGTATTCACTGCTGGCAAGAAACTTCATATTTGGTATCAGCAATTACTTACCATGTTTACTCCTCCTGACTGGAAATCAGAGCACATGGCCATCACGGGAGCCAAGCCTACCGTGGTACCTTGGAAGGGCACACCCCTAAAATCAACCCAGAAACAGCATGAAATGGCACTGAGGCACTTGTAAAGGCAGAGAAATACATCCTGCAGTGCACAGTCTCATATCCAGACACAGTGTCAGGGGAACACATTGTCTTTAGTAGTATAGTCAAGTACAGGACATCACAGCAGAGCTACAAAGCCTAAGATGTGTTTTTCTTGGACTAGCACTTTGTTTTAGGGGCCAGCCAGACAATCCTATTTTTTATAATGGTCTGGTGCTAAAAAGTGCTCCTGCTGAGTTCTACAACAAGCACGGAAAGGACCATTTCCGGATCCTTAATTGAGTACTGTTTGTGAATACTTAATTTATCTTAAGCCTGATATTTGCCAGCCTGGGATTCAGGGACTTGACAGAGTGCTAGGTAGCACCTTTGAGGCCTGGTGAGCTGGAATTCTGTACTGTCCCTGACAGCATGTCTGAAATGGAAGCCCTGGAAGTTGTGCTCAGGACATGGCCAGGTGAAGATGAAATACAGTAATGCTAAAGGGAAAAACACCCAAATCAAATGAAACAAGGGAAAAGGCATTGTATCTCTGCATTTCAGTCCTAAAGGCTTCTCCTCTGACTCACCACTATTTTCTGGTGGATGAATTACCCTGGAAGAGGTAAGAAGATTTGAGAGCTGCAAATTTTTTTTCCAATGACAACTGCATTGCATTAGGGCTACTGGCCCTAATGAGATCAGTGGGCTGAGTCACAAGCCATCAGTTAGCTCCCAGCACAAGGGCCCCGTGTCTCAGTGGGATGAATTAGGAACAAGTGCCTTCCACAAAGGCCTTAGCTCCCCTTAACAGGTCTGACTTAGGGTTCAGTTTTTCGTGAATTGTCCATGTAGCTGTGCCTGATCATGTGCAGCTGCTTGTGATAAGCACACACAGTAGTGCTGATGTATTGAGACCACTGCATAGCCTGGGACCTCCACTTCTCCTAGAATGGTTGGGGTCTGGGTGCCAGAGCTTAATGCTGGCTCAGTGGCCTCTACATAAATCTGCCCCTCTGAATCTTAGAACGATATAACCTTACAAACTGATTTCCAACCCACCCAACACACTAGTCAGAAACAGGAGAAATCAACTTACGTGATTAGTTGGGCATTATCGTGTTTTCTGTGCAACCTCTCCTTGCTACTCCAGGCCAGAAAGGACTTCAGGGTGGAGTAGGGATTCTCAGTTATATCACATTTATTCCAGTTACTCCAGATTTCCAGCCCCACTAAGGCAATGCGAATATTCATGGATCTGTAAAACTAAGATACAGAAAAGGAGATAATAAAATGAGCACCACAAATTTATTTTACTGTACTTTAAATCTTGAATATATACCCTGCTAATTACTTCTAGAACTCCACATGTCCAGACAAAATATTCCCTCTGGAAATGCATTGCAACTTACTGCTGCAGCTCTGCAGAGAAAAATGTGCAAACCTAAACTTGACTGAAATAGAGACATGAAACTTTCATTTTTGAATGAATAACAGAGACATTCTAGAGCAACAAAGACTGGAGAGTGACATCATGTTTTATCTTTAGATATGTCAGAATTCCTGAAAAGCGGAAGGAAACAATCTGCTGCCCACACCAAGCACAAACAGGAGAAGTATTCATGGGCAGTGGGGGTGAAGGGAGTGATGGAAGGAGTTAAAGGGGAGAAGGGATCTGAAAAGTAGGGAAGTTTACTTCAGCAGCACTGGGTACCATTGCAAGATGACCTCTAAAGGCTCCTTCCAGCTCTACTTCCCAGGTTTTCTGCCTTTTCAAGTGAATACATTAGTCCCTTGTCAAATAGGGGCACAAGATGCTCATCCTGGCTCCAAGGTAAGGAATGGAGATTCACCCACCCCATTCTTGATGTCCAACAACACAATTTGGCAGATGCTCTCCACTCCCCAGATCACTGGCAAGAACTGCTCAGACATTGTTCTCTCTCCCAAGAAGCCAGTCCTCCTCTGTCACAACTAACTCTCAAATGGCCTGACCTGGGCTTTGCTTTCCTCATTTCACACATACCCAATCTCACCTTATCTACGTAATTAGCAGCTTCCACTAATTTAAGCCTTGTTGCTTCAATGTTGAAGTGATGCTTCTGAAACTGAACAAAATGAACATGTCAGGCAGCACAAAGGCAAGTAGAAAGTACCGAAATGTGTTAAAACAAGTCACATTACTCTGGGAATAAGACAGTTAACTCTCAAGTGAAGCCAGAAAACCTTCCTTTACTGTACATCTGACCACATCACAACATATCTGTCTATTCAAAATTCATCCCTGGCACACTACTGCAGTGATATTACTCAAGCAGTGGTAACACAGTGGAGCAACCCAAACTTGTAAGTGCCCCAGAGCCAAGGTCTGACAAAGAACTGACAAATGTGCCAGATAAAATGTATGGTAATATGTCTTCATGTCTGAGGTCAAGGGTGCTGTAGAGCTCATCACATTTCACTCATCCAACCAATTTGCCTATTTAAACCACCTGGCAATTAACGAGTTACTTTTAGCAAACTGATTCCAAGAATTGAAGTGGCAAAATGTTTAGATTTTTGATTAACAGATGACCAAACCCAGGACTTTTCTTCCAATGAGGGACACAGCAAGGTAAGGGCAGTTAATGACAACACTGTGAGGGTGTCTGGCTCAGCTTGTCTAATCAAATGGTGAACAACATATGGCAGTTCCTGGGGATTATGTGTTCTCTCAGTTTCCCTGGTATCTTGCTGCCTAATAGGAACCAAAATAGGTTCTGCCTCTTTAGTTTTGTTCAGAATAAATTACAGCCCAGAGCACTATGTGGCT